TCATTAGCCGAGCCTGTACTTCATATTAGGACTCACACTTCGTGTTGTACATTCTGTGGGTTTTGACAAGCGCCTAATGCCATGTGTGCACCTCCACCATCCTCGTACTCATATTCTATCTGTGTCTTTAGGTGAAAGTATTTTTTTTGTAGACAGCCCATTGCTCGGTCTTGTTTTTCTATCCACTCAGTCTCTCTTTTAATTCATGTGTTTAGATCATTGACATTTAAAATGATTATTGATATATTTGGATTAATAGCTACCATATTTATACTGTTTTCTTTTTGTTGCTCTTGTTCTGTTTGGTTTTTTTGTTTGTTTGTTTATCTTTGGCTTGTTTTCAGCTTTCTATAGTTTTAGGTAAGCAATATAAATATTTCTATTTTATCTTTTCTCCTAGCACATCAACCATACTTTAAAAATAAATCTTTTGCCGTTGCCCTTGAGTTTGTAGGGCACATGCACAACTGATCCAAGCTCAGTTTTGTTTGTTTGTTTATTTGTTTGTTTGTTTCAGTGGAGGTGCTGGGGATTGAACCTGGGACACTGTGCATGCTAAGCGTGTGCTTTACCACTGAACTATGCCCTCCCTCCACCAACTTCACTTTTATGACTGGTGTTCTCAGGGTCCACTTCTGCTGATTTTAACTCATTTAGTGCTAAGAGTGGTTGTGCGTTGAACTATGTTCTCCCAGTATTCAAATATCGGAGTCTTAACCTCCATCGCTCATTATGTGACCTTTTTTGCAAATAGTCTCTGTGGACGTAACTGAGTTAAAAATGGGTCGTTTGAGTGGGCTCTAGTCTGTTATGACTATGTCCTTGTAAAGGGGCAATTGGGACACTGACACAGAGGGAGGACACTCTGAAGAGACTGGGGCAAGGGGAAGACAGACATTTACAAGGCAAGGAGAAAGGCCTGGGCCACAGGCTCCCTCACCACCTCAGAAAAAACCAGAACTGCCGACATCTTGATTTTGGACTTCCAGCTTCCAAAACTGAGAGATAACAATTTTACGTTATTTAACCCACCCAATCTGTGGACTGTGTTACAGTTATCCCAGGAAACTGATTTCCAAAGAGAAGGAAAGAGACTCAGGTCACTGAGTCTTTGATCCCCACTACAAGGCTGACCGCAGAGACATTTCAGCACTGTAGGCCCCCAAGCCCCTCACAGCCCTGGGCAGGGCTGATTCCTCATCCCCTCTTGTTACAACCTGCCTGCCAACGTGCATGGTTATTGTCCAGACTCCAGCCTCAGATGCAGCTGAAGCTCTGGGCGCCAAGCCTCCCACTCTGGGTGGAACGCATACGCTCATCCTCACCATATTTATTCCTGGTTTCCTGCACTAGAAAGAGGCCCCTACAAAGCATGGAGGATCTGGCTGTCAGTGATGCGTCTCTTCCCAGTGCCTGACATTTCCTAACTGCTCATAAATGATGGCTGGCAGGATGAGTACAAAGATGTCTGAATAAACAATCAACAAACTATTGGAGCCACTTTGGGGGTGTGTTCTGGGGTCCACTTGTAGCTTGGGAAGACAGAAGCCCCTGCCTGATGCAAATTTGGCCAAAGAAAATAGTCTGATTGCTCAGGGTCTGAGAATTATTAACAAGATGTTTGGTCCTTAGGATGATGGAAGAATGGCTTTTTTAAAAAAGGGGGTTAGAGTGGAATGGGTTAAAGGACCAAAGAGTGAGGCTGGTAGAAGGAGTTTGAAAGGATCCATTTCATCCTGTGGGGATGAACTTTTTCCTTATCATGCAGACATTAGACAATTCTTTTCATGTTAAATAAAAAATACTTAATCTTAACTGGCTCTGAAAGGGTACGACTGGAAATACGGACACTGGATTAGAGACGCAAAAGGAAGAACTTCCCACCCTGCCCCCCATCCTGTCCCAGGTCCACCCTGTTTGTTCTGGGTGAGCTTCTCTGATTTCTAGAACAGTCCTCAAATTGAGGTCCAACAACAACATCCTTTCAGGGAGTCCTCACGGTCAAAATGATTTTTATAATAATATTAAAATATAAAATATTTGCCCTTTTTTTTCTTTTTTTTTTACTGTGTTGATATTTGCACGGATGATGCAAAATCAAAGAATGGTAAACGCTGGAGCTTTAGCACTAAACTGTACTGGCAATTGCTGCATTTTCAACAGGTCCTTGCAGGGAAAAAAAAATACCAGTTTCCTTAAAAAATGTCCTTGATGAAGCAGTGAAAATCAATTTTATTAGTAAGTGAATACACATCTTTTTAGTTTCTGGGTAATAAAATGGAAAGTACACAGAAGTTCTGGTGCTACCAAGGTAGATCGGTTGTCCAGGGAAATGCAGTTGCACGTTTGAGTTGCAAGCTAAACTAACCACTTCATTCATGAGCACCATTTTTACTTGAAAGAGCAACTGATGAATTACATTCATGCAGACTTGTGGATGACAGGTGTTCCCTCAAAAGTAAAGTAAATGAAATGTTTTCAAAAAAAAAACTCAGTGTATTTATTTGCTGCTAATCATAAAAATTAAGCTTTCAAATGAAAATTTGAATTTTTGACAATTTATATCTACCACTGTGAACTTGAGAGCTTGCCAGTAATTTTCTGGTGAGATTGGTGGTGATAGTAACTCCTGTGATAGTTTAATATTGTGTGTTGAAATGTGTCAACATTTTGAAGCAATATTTTCCGATGACTAATGCATATTACGAAATCACACATGGGTAACAGGCCCAGTCAGAGTGCAAGACCAGTGGAATTTATCAGCAAGTTTATTGATATGATTTCATATGTAACTCCAACTGCAATTACCCTTTAAGAAGCTACCATTTGTTAGTTTGGGTGTAGTATAAAACGATTTCCAGTTACCTGAAACAGCTATTCAATACACCACCCTCTTCCAATTACATATCTGTGTGAGTCCTGATTTCCTCCAAAAATATATCACAAGGGACTGAATGCAGAGGCCATTGTAAGAATCCAGCTCTCTTCTATTAAACTAGGCATCAAAGAGGTTTGAAAACATGTAAAACAATGCCATTCTCACATTTTGGGGAAAAAGCTACTTTTCACAAAGATCTTTCTATAGATATGTTATTTCAAAAGTGAATTCATTATTTTAAAATTTGTTTTAATTTCCAATATGGTAAATAAACACTGACCACCAGTGCTGTGCTGGTAAATGTTTAACAACCAGCTCCCCGAGAAGGTACGGTGGGGGAGCCCTGATGTGTAGTGTTTGCTGATCTCAGTGGCATAAATACTCTCATCCCGACCAAGTTCAAGCTACCAATACGTCACTGATGCAAAGCTGGGAAGACACCTGCACCATCAGCTCCCACCAGCCCACAGGGAGCTGGCCCCAGCTCACCACTGACATGAACCACCGAAGGTCTTGGAATCCTTGCTAATTTTGGAGAGTGGAATGAAGCCCAGGAATGGGTTTGAGCACAAGTGTCCGAGGACCATCACCCCACCTCTGTTTAATCGTCTCGGCAATGGCGGAGCTCCACGAGAGCCGTGACCCCAGTTACAAAAGTCCTTGAGCCTTAAATCCTAATGCTCTCCATAGAAACACCCTCAGATCTCTTCTGTTATCTCTGCCAAACCCTTGGCAAAGACAAGACACCTGAATCTTTCTATTCTAATCCCTTCCTGAAAGAATTTTTCACTTTAAGGAACACTGTTTGGGAACTCCTTCAGTAAGGGCTCACAGGTGGTTCCAGCTTGGTCCCGAGTTACGAGGCAATGAGTGTGTGAAGTTAGTGACGAGGAGATGTGACTCTGAATGACCGAGTGCCACTGAGTGGCGGGCAGTTCTGAGCCCAGCATCCCCACTCCACCGAAGAATGAAGACCCTGACAAGGAGGAGTTTATATAAACAAAATACTTTATTATTTGAGAAAGAAGCCAAATTACAAAATTTTTATACTTAAGGTCTGTTCATTACCATGCCAAAAGGTTTATCATGGACTGCATTTCCAGAACTCTTGGTTTGAGCCACGTGAAACTGCCAACTCTGTCGATTAAAAAAAGACCAACATAGGCAATTTTCATGTGGTTCAACCTCCTGTTAAAAATCTTAAAAATAAGATTTTTTTCAGCAGCAAGATGTTCCCAGGCCCAAGTCTGTTGATGTTACAAGCAGATGTCGGAGATATAAACAGGTCTTGCTTGAGAAAAACATCCTGTGCTTAAAGATGCTGGAAACGGTCTTGTGTGGGCACCAAGACCAAGTGGTTCCTATAGCGGCTCTGCTGGTCCTACCACCCAAACCCCTGGTCTTACTGCACAAACAAGTCTTCTTTAGAGATGTCACTGCTGGCCCGTGTCCCCTCACGCTGCTCCTGAAGGCTGTGAACTTGACTCGATCATTTACAAAGGTCAGGAGCACACGCTGACCCAGGGATTCCTTTGAAACAATGACAAAAGTCTCCACCATGATTAAGACGTTTTCACCTGAAGGACCCCAGTGCCTTCTGGTTCCCTTCTGGTCTGCCCTCTCTTCGCCTCTGGCCATTTTGCATTAGAAAGAAATAAGGGGAAAAAATTTCTCTGCCTGTGGATGCTGAACAGAAAAGAGCAGCTAGGTATCTGGAGAGTCCAAGACTCGGCAGGTGAACAGGGTGAGGCAAATCATGCTTCACTCACGTCCCAGAGTGCCCTCCCCCTGAACCTTCAGCTCTGTACAATACGTTAACTTTACAGGGAGATAAAAATAAATCTTTCTTACAAATTAATTTTTTTTCCAGTGAATTGCTTTTGCAGTAAAAATAGCTGCTACACAAATCCCTCCTGATCTCTGAAAAGGAGTCGCTTATTTCCAAAAATAGGATTCTTATTTTAATCATACAGAATAACTCGGGGCTTGGGGGTGGGGCACGGGAAGGAAATGGCTGGCCGGGGAGGTTAGCGGTTGGGGAAATACAGTTACACTGAAAAATAAAATAAGTTTCGTGTATAAACTGATTTAAAGGCATGCATAGAATGGAAAACATATGCCATTTGTCAAGAAAAATACTGCTTTATAGCTTTTACATTACAATTAAAGGAGAAGCAAAGGGGCCGGATGAGACCGCAGATAATAACATTAAGTTTCTTATAAAAATTCCCAAATGTACAAAGTCCTTGCCATAGAGAATAACCCAGGCAAAACAAAAGACGAAAAACGGGAATCAACCCTTAGACCTTATTCCTGTAGGCCTGTTACATGTAAATAGTACACACTTTACAGCCTCCCCTGGTCTGCCCTTGGCAGAATCAATGTTTGCAAAACGCCACATGTGCTCTTAAAAAAATGGAATACACACTGGATGTCTGCATTCTTCTTTCACATACAATTAGATAATTATTTTAAATTACAATATACAATTTCTGTTAAATAGGACTGTTAGAGGATTTTGACAGCAATTATAAGATTACAGTCATATATACAAACTAACTTCTGAAATGGCATGATTGTTTCCTTCCCCTCCTCCCCTCTGAACCAGAGACCTCTTTTGCATTTGCGATTCCTGGTTGCCAGAGGCAAAAGAAAGTCCCAAACCGTGTGTCCACGACACGCTCGCTCTGTGGAGAATTCCCCACCGGCCAAGCGACCCTGTCACAACACAGCCCGCCCGGGGCCAGGCCGGCTGCCCAGCGTGTCTCTCCCGGCCGTTCTCATGTAACAGCATCCTAAGAGCGTGTTCCTGTCAGCAGCTTGAGAAGCGAGAAACCCTGCTGCTTGCAGCGAAGAACCGCGGTTTTGGAGGAAATAAGGCCACTGCTTCCCGGAGACGTTCCTGGACGCGTCAATCCCAGCTTTCAGGGTCCCCAGAGCAGCGGGTCAGGATGGCCCCACGCACGGCCCCGGGCGGCCTCAGTCCTCCGTGTCCGGCTGGACGCCCAGGAGGGCGTGCAGCTCCTCGGGCGTGAAGCCCAGCAAGTTCTGCAGGTCGCACACGAAGCGGTACACGTAGCGCTTCCCCGACGTCTTGTGGATGATGTTCTTGTCGTAGTAATAGCGCAAACCCCGGCTCAGCTTCTCGTAGTTCATCTTGGGCTTGTTTTTCCTCTTTCCCCACCGGCGGGCCACCTGGGGGATGGATGGAAAGGAGTTCAATTGTGTGACGATTAAGAAACAGTGAATGACGTTCGCCCCCGACTAGGGTTCTGACCCGTGCTCGCCTGCCAGGACCCAACCATACAAGGACAGCAGAGCTGCAGTCGCTTTCAAGCACGTTCCCTGGGCACTGCATCCCCCGGCTGCTTGTCTGAGGATGGAGGTGAGGCCTCTCACTCAGAAAAACCTCTGGGAGTCAAGGGTTAGGAATCAGGGGGGTCCCCCCACCTCCAGGGTTCGCACGTAACCGCCACGTCCACTGGGATTGGAGCCACGTGACGCTGCGCAGCCCTCGATGCTTCTGCCCCCAGGAATCGGGGAGGCGACAGACCGCACTCTACCTGTGCCAGAGACCAAGGTCCTGGAGGGGCTGGTGTCAGACCTGCCCGCTGATTTCGCTGGTACAGCTCTGCCAAGCTCAGCTGAGGGGCACGGACGCCCAGCCAGAGGGCTGGCATGGAGCAACTAGCGGCTGAGTCCCCCCGGGGTTAACAGGCAAATTTCCTAAGACACTTCCAGGTGGTCGGGCGAGGGCCTCGGTTTACAGCTTGCGCCTCTGGATCAGACAACAGAGCACGCTGATGAACGAACCCCGCCCGCTGCCCTGTGCACTACCAGGGGACACTAGACACTGTTTATCAGCAAAACAAGACTCCACGTTTCCCCGACAGTCAGAAATGCCTTGTGTAGAAGTGTTCTCATCTGTGCCCTGGTGAACCCTTTCTTGTGCCCAGAGAACTGACTCTGGGAACCCCAAGTGACGAAATCGGGTTTTAGAGCTGGGAGACGGATTTCCTAGGTGCTGGACCTACCTCGTCGGGGTCGGCCAGCTTAAACTCCCACCCGTCCCCGGTCCAGCTGATGAAGGACTGGCAGGATTTGTCGGAGAGCAATTCCAGGAGAAACTGCCACAACTGGATAGGTCCGCTTCCTGGGGGGACAGGGGCAGGTTATTTGTTTCTGTAGATTCAAAACATAGCAAGGCTTCCGTCATCCTGCTGAAACAAAGAATGTGAGACCCAGCTCTGGACTGGGTGCCAAAGTAAGAAGGTGTGACTCTGGGTGCTGGTGACAGCCCTGGATGCTTTAATGGGAGGAGGCCAGACACCCAGGCCAGGGCTTCCTCCACGCCTCCTACTCCTGGAAAAGAGGTCACGAGGCCCTGGATGGCTGGGTTTGGTCTTTCTGGAGAAAAAAATTCTGGGCCACCAACTCTTGGCATCAAAATTCCTCATCCTGTTTAATTGTTCCTTATGTAATAACTTTCAAGGTTTATTTCTAGAAACACCCCGTGGGACAGCAGTGGGGGCAGCTGAAGGGGCGTTTCAACACAGAGTGAGGCATGTCATTCCTGGAATCCCATGATGAGTCTTTCTGCCCGATGATGGTGGGTAAATTACATAATCCAGGACTCGGTTTACTCCACAGGCATCTGGGCATCTGGAGCTATGTCCACGGTCTCCCCACCTCTGTCTGGTGACGTACATGCTTTCCAAAGGACTTTTCATAAACATTTTTTTGATAATACTTAGAACCTCTGCCACTGTGAAGCTGAGTATCACTGTATCAATCTTTTAAAGACGAAGAATCCTGTGTCTCAGCAGCCAGGCGCTCTGCCCTGGGTCACGTGTCCATCCAAGAGCTGTTCCCCAAGGCTCAAAGGCTGTTTGTCTGAGCTGTATGACCAGACAGCTGTCTTCCCCTGAGCCCATTTCCCCATCTGTAAAATGGGTTAATACCACCAGTGCTGGGCCACCCTCGGGTTTACCCATCACGCCCAGTTAACCACACAGAGCTGTCAGGCAACAAACGGTAACAGATATTAAGATGAAAAACACCAGCACCACCGCTGTTTACTTTCTTATCAGGCCCTGACTCCCACGTACAAAAATTAACAGCCGTTTTCACAACCTAAGTATTTTAATGCATTTTCACGGCTGTCTGTTTCACACAGCAGAAAAAACGGATGCCTACGTATTCTCATTGTAACCTATTGGATTTTTTTAAAGTAGGCATTTTTTGAAATCCCCAGTAGCTCCATATGGCCCAAATATGGAAGGAAAAAAAAGGCACATTTAAGGACACATGAAGCCATGAAAAAAAATTTCTGCTATTTTTCGCTAAAGCACTGGAACTATCCGCTTCTAAAAACAGCTTTAAATATTTGTCCCTGGCCTAGAACAGCTCTTGCCCAAACCTTAAAACTGAGATGGAGTTTTGGAAGCAGGAAAAGGTACACAGTCCCTGTGTTGTTCGAGGCTGGCTCCGCTGCCCCTCCCGGGGCCAGTTTACACTCTCTGACATTCCTGGCAGGGTGAGTCATAGCTGAACCTCCAGAGGCCCATGTCCCCTGCTGCTCCTCCTCTTGGGAACGGCCAGGCACATCCCAGGTGAGGAGGCAGCCTGTGGGCTCGTCCCCACGCCGAGGAGCTCACATTAAAAACCCCTACAAGGTTGGCCTTTGTAGAATTTAGGGACACGGATTGCTTGGAGGCAGGATTACGTCCCACTCACAGAACGCGGGGTGTCCACGCGACGGGCACCGACAAGACACGCCCTTGATAAACACGTGGGCGCGGGGCTGGGCGGGCGCCGGGGAGGGACGGGGACCCGGAGCAGCCCGCTCACCTGTGAAGCCGGCCAGCACAGCCGCCGGTATGACTGGTTTGCCTTGCTCGGCCGGGTCGCTCCTCTCCTGGATGTAGTCCTTGAAGGACATGGTCGGCTTG